ACAATGACTAACAGGCCTCAGGCATCTTGTGTTGCCTAAATTGAGTCAGTGACTGAGCCCAGTGTCTGAGCCTGAAGGCAGCTAGCTAGCTAGGAGGAGCCTACACCCTGGAATTTGAGGAGCCTCACTGCACCTGGGCACCTTTCCCACTGACCCCAGAAACAGCATGTCTCACCGAGAGAGCAGCCCTCCTTGGGTTGCAGCACTGCTACTCTTCTCTGAAAGGAACACATTTTATTGTTTGTTGTTTGTTTGTTTGTTTGTTTGTTTTTACAAAAATAGCAATACTCATTGTAAAAAAAAAAAAACCAAAAAACCCCAAAACCTCCAACAGCACCCCATCTACTTCTAAAATGTCAATCCTTCCTACCAGAGAGTGGAATGTGGGGTCCCTCTCTAATGTGCCAGTACAGAGGTCTGGCTCCCAGGCTTGTGGGTGTGGGGTACAGGCAGGGTCAGGGAAGGAAGTGATGCACAGAGTTTTTCTGCCACCTAGGACTTGTACTCCCCAGCTGATTCTTCAAGGAGTGTCCTTCCCCATTCACCAAACCCGTAGCTCACTTCAGCTGCTGCAGAATAATAGCTGGGGGCTAGAAGAATGCCATCCAGGATTCCCAAGGACCTTTGTGTGCCCCCCCCCAAACCAGCAAGAAGAATGATGGACAGGAGACCGAAACAAAAAGGGGGAAGAGGCAGGGTGGAGGAACCCAGCCTCCTGAGTCTCTAGGCCTCCAGGAAAAGACTAGGGAGAAACACAGGCTGAGAGAAGGGAGCAGGGAGGTAGAGAGGCTGAGGAGGGGTGCAGGAAGGAAGCCAGCTGGGGAAGGCACCTGAAGAGGCTGCAAGCTTTGCCCAAGCTGCAGAAGGAGCAGGGCTGAGCTGGGCTCATGGGTCCAGGCCTGGAGAGGGATGTGATGGGCTTGCCAGAGCACCCTAGGGATACAGAAGAAGGAAGAATAACCAGATACAGGATGGGGCCCCGACTTCCCAGGTTGTGAGCACAGAAGGGGATGCTGAAGACTCCTGTGAGCTGCAGGCCCACTGTGAATGGAGGACCCAAGGGCTTGGCTTTGAGATACTGGGAGCTCCTGGGGGAACCTGGACTCCAACTCCCAGTCAACCATATGCACACCTTGGCTCCCCCAGAACCCAGGACAGGTGACATATTCTGATCCTATGGGGCCTACTGCCCAGCAGGGTGGGGGTAGAGAGACTCTTTACCCATGCAGGAAGTGGTGGGGGCAGGGAACCTAACTCTCAGAAGGACAGAGGCTCACTCAATAAACTGCTGGAAGGCCTGGTGAAGGTGGATGCGGAGGGCCTGGAGGATCCCGGGAGAAAGACTGGACCAAGCCCACTCCAGGAGAAAAATCAGCAAGAATTAGAGATGGCAGTTAAGCAAGGTGAGACTAGAGGGAGGACAGCCTCCTTCCCCAACTCAGGCCATTTTGGAGAAACTCTCTGGATCCCCCAGCGCTAAGAAGCATCTGGAGAGTGCTGGGTTGGTGGAGTCCTTTCCTGACTGGCTGTCCCCCCACCCCTAGAGCTGAGCGGAGGAACCTGGACCACCATGTGGCCAGGGAGCGCCTGGTGGCAGAGCATCATGGGACTCTAGCCCAGAAAACAACAGCTCCTTGTAACCAGACCTCCTCATCCTGCAAAGCAGGAGCCCACTATTTCTCTGGGACCGGCAGAGGCCAGAACAGAGACTCATCGCAGGGATGGAACCTGGGCTGTGAGCTGTGGAGACTCTGTGGGACTCAGAAAGGGCCGGATCAACACCTGGGGTCTGTCAGCACTGGAGCCTAGAAGGGTCAGAGGCACAGGGAAAGCAGTTTAGGCCAAGGCTATGTCCCTGCCCCTCCCCTCTCCCCTACACACACATCCCTCCCAGGAAGGTGCCTGAATCGCTTTACAAAAAGGGAGGGGGTGTGTAGAGAGAGCATTTTCCATGTCCCTAGGATCTTGAGCAGGTTGAGATGACAGTGACCCTGCAAGTGTAGACTGGCAGTGAGAGCATAAAGCATAGGATGCACAGGCCATTGGTCCCAGTGCCACAGGGTGAGGAATCCTGGATCTCGGTCAATTCATGCCAGGTGGGCTCAACACCAGGAGCTCTGTGTGTCCTGCTCTGGCAGGAGGATGTCCCAGAACCAAACGGCATCCCAACATGTGAGCGTGCACACACACTCAGCCAGGCCAACCCTGCACACCCCTGCCACATGGCCACACTGGGTACAAGGGCACCCAGCATTCCTTACCCAGCAAGCTCAGGAAATAGACCTGCAGGACAAGGTCTCCAGAGAGGAAAGGATGTGGGTGGAAGACCAGTGGCCCCGCGCAATCCGTCCCCTCCGTTGTTAGGCACTGGGCTGCCCAGGAGCCAGGATGGCCTGGCAGGCATCTTGGCTGGGCCAGAGCCCAGGCTCAGAGCCTATATCTAGCAACGCCTCCCCCCAACACATCCACACATGCAGGGGACACACTCTTCGACTCAGCGCACAGAAGCCCCGAGTTCTTCGCTCTCTCTGGCACAGGCAAGATATCCCCTACCAGGACCTCACCTCTAGGCCTGGAGAGCGGAAAGAGTCTGATGTCCCCGGGACACCAAATCCTACCCCTCAAAGAGGGAATGGGAGGAAAAATAAATAAATAAAATGCGGGTGAAAGAGGAAGAGCGGGACTTGCCCAGAGTGAACCCTGCAGAAGCAGGAAAGCCCTGCCCAAAGCTGGGGAAGGGGAGGTTGCCGCAACTGCCTGGGTCCGGTCTCTCGGGTTTCTGCCTCTCCCTGCAGACCTCCCCACCCCCCCAGGATGGCACTGGGAGATGTTATTTGTAGAATGAAAATTTACAGGGTGAAAAGAAAACCTGGCAGGGCTCAGCAGGTGCTGTTCCACTTTTCTTTGAACAGAAACTGGGGCTGCGCCTGTGGGCAGGCAGAAGAGCTAGGGCATGGGGGCCCGGGAAGGTTGGAGCCTAGTGTTTACTTTCTGCTTCTTACATGAATAGCAGAAACAAGTAAACTTGAGAGAGTCAGAGAGGAGAAAGACTGAAATGCAGAGCATGCTGAGCGAAGGCAACCAGGGACCTACTGGGCCAGGACGGAGGATGCCCTGGCCCATGTGGGGGTCACTGAGGAGTTCTGCGGCCCCTCCAGTGCCCGCCACATGGGTCCTTCCAACCGAGCTCGGACCTGCGAGGTCGCACTGCTCTGGTCCTCCTCTAACTATAAACTTTCCCTCCTCCCAGTGTACAAGGGGCCACCAACTGTCAGCACCGGGCAGCGGGTGCAGCCTGCCCTCCCTCTGCACACACTGCCCAGCACCCCAACACCATCCCTCGGTCTCCTGCCCTACCCAAAGTACCTAGTAGACAAGTTTCTTTCTTTACTAGTTCCTTTCTGTTAGAACGGAGCAGCAGTCCTCCTCCCCTCCACTCTTTACCCTCCCCTCTTCCTACATCTCAAACCCTTCACCAAGGCACTGTTAGTCACCCAATTACATAACTGGGGTGTCCAGCCCACCTCGCTTTCTGCTGGAGGCGTTTGAAATTGGACAGAATCACACGCACACTGGATACACGCTAAGGCACCAACACACGCACATTCACAGAAAGGCTCACCGAATCATGAAGGCTGCACCAGCGACACATTCAGCCCCGCCACAGCCACTTACCCCCAGCACATCCATGGGCCTTGCCCCCAAAGACACTCATTCAGAACCCCCCGGACAGACTGGGGTACCCTCGCTCACCGAGTCTACTGGCGGGAAAATGGAAGCAAAATCTGTAATTTACGGCGCTTTAGCGGAGTTCACCGACCCTCCCGCGCACACACACCTTGTACACGCGTCTTCGCTGGGGTCTCTCAATCTCTCTTCGAGCCCCTTTCTGAGTCAAACGAAGGGAACGAAGAGCCCGGCCTCTCCTGGTGCTGTCAAAGGAGAAGCCAGAGTCGGGTGAGCCCGGGGTCCTCAGAAAGTGCTGGGGACCGTGACGCCTCGGAAGGCCCAGCGCTCTGCCCAAAGACTCCCAACCCCTTCGCTTCCCAGCGCAGCTGGCTCCTAGCCGCTGTCACCTCCGCGCTTCGCTTCTCTCAGCCCACGAAAGCTGGACCTGAGACCAGGGCTGGGGTAGGGGGCAGCTCCACGGAGGCCGGTGGGGTAGGGGTGGCACAAGGAAACGCCCACCTGCTAACCCAGTCTGAGGGTGCGGGCCCCGCTTGAGGGCTGGGGAGCCGCAGGGGAACCGGGCGTTTGCTGCCTGCCAGTCTCGGCCTCACTCGACCCTCTGGGCTCCTGGCCCCGGCTGTCTGTCTGCACGTGTTTTCTCTGCGGCGGCGGGTGCGCGTCACTCTGTCAGCCCCCCGGCCTCACTCAGGCTCACTGACCACATTCCAGGCCTTGCCCTCCCGGGAACGCCGGGACCCGCCTGAAGTCTGTCCGAGTTCTTGAGTGTGGGTGGAGGTATGACTCTGGGGACGAGAGTGGGGTACTGAACCCCAGGCCGAGTCTCTGCCTCCAGCCCCCGACTCCGCCAAGCGCCGGAGCATGGCCAACCTCCTTTCTGCTTGATCTCTCTGGGGTCGCCTTCCTGGAGCACAGCGGTTATTGATCCCGCTGAAAGGGCCGGAGCGCGGAGCCTGCTTCCCTAGGGATGAAGGGAGTGGGGAGGAGAGTAGGCAAGGGGTTGGGGGAGGGAGTTGATAAACTTTAGGGGAGGACGTAGGGCTAGGACAGCACTCCAGGGCCGCCCCAGCCTCCCTCTGCCAAGCTGGGTGTGGGGCTAGACTAGGGGTGGAGGAGTGGGCCACCCTCTCCCTTCCTCCCCACCCCCGCGCAGCGCAGCTGCCTCCGAATCTTCCGGGAGCCGGAGAACCCCGACTCCTGCCCAATCAGCAGGGATGGGTGGAGCAGCCGGGCAGGGGCGGGGCCGGAGGAGGAGTAGGGCGGGGGGCTCGAGGGGCGCGGGGGCGAGAGGGGCGGGGAGCGGCGGGCTTGGCTAGCGTAGGCTGGCCGGGCGGTGGCGAAGGCGGCGGTGGCGGCCGGCATGGGCGATGGGGGCGCCGAGCGCGACCGCGGTCCCGCACGCCGGGAGTCGCACGGCGGCCGCGGCGGGGACCGAGGCGGAGCGGAGGACTCGGGTACCGATGCCAGCCGCCGGAACCCCAGGGAAATTGCAGGGACCTCTGCTTCTAGCCCCGCGGGCTCCAGGGAGAGCGGCGCGGACAGCGACGGCCACCCCGGGCTCGGTGAGGCAGACCACTGCCGCCGCATCCTGGTGCGAGGTAAGCGGACAGCTCGCGGTCCTGGCTCGCCGGATTCCCGCCCCCCGCCCCGCTCTTCTGCTGCCTCCACCTCCCAATTCATGTACTCAGCCCGTCAGTCATCACTCAGTCATTCATTCAGCTAGTATTATTCTGAGCGTCCATTGTGTGCTGAACGTTGAGCTGAGTGCAGGGGACAAAGCGGCGAACGGGACCAAAGAGATCCCCGTGTCACTGCCTTACATTTCTCAGCCTCTCGGGCCGGCCGCTCACCCTAGGCCCATCCCAGCCGCTGACGGTGGCGGGGGCACGGGCGCGAGCGCGGGATGCCGAGAGCCGGTCCCCGCCCCGCGTCCCAAACGGCGGGTGCGGAGAAAAGCGTCACGAGCGCTCAGCGGGGTCAGGACAAGGAGGGACCAGCGTCCGGAACCCCGGGAGGAAAAGGCCGGCGCTCCGCTCAGAGACCAGGCGCTTCCTCGCCGCCTGGCCAGCCTGGTTTCTCATTCCCAGCGACGCAGACCGCACCGGTTGCTCGCGGGAGAGGGCACCCGGGCACGGAGCGCGGGGTGCGCGGCGCTTGCCCGCCTGGGCTTCGCTCTTTCGGCTCCCACTTCCTCGCGGCGCCCGGGCCCAGCCGGCTCTCGCTGCGGCCTTCTCCCGGCCTGGCCTTTCGCGGCTCTCGCTTTCTCCTTCGCCCTCCTCTCTTCTTTCCTGGCCTTTTCTCTCTGCCGAGCGCTCCCCAGCCCTCTTTTCCTACAAGCGCTTCTGGACTGCGCCCGAGTACCCGGCTCCTCCTGGCCTCCTCGCTTCGAGGCCGAGACTTCCCAGACCCCTAAAGCGAGCCTCACGGGAAGCTGCAGGCTCAGCTTTCGCCGGATCGGGGCCTCGCCCAGAGAGATGGGAGGAGAAAGGGAATTCCGGGGTCTCCCCGTCAGCCTGTCCCTAGGCCTCGGCCAGAGCCTGAGGTCTGTTTCCCCCAGCATCTCGGAGCGCGGGCACCGGCAGACCGAGCGCCCAGAAGAGGCCACACGCCTCTAAAGGCTCCCCCCCAGGCCTCCTCCAACTCCCTAGCCCGGCTTCCTCCCGCGGCCCTTTTACTGCCTCTCCTTCCTGAGCGCCCTCTTGCAAGCGGCTAGGCTTTACGAGGCCACCGGCCAGAACTGATTTCCCTGGCCATCAGGTCCTGGGGAAGGGAAACCAGCTTGCTGCTGGCCCCAGAACACTCCAGCGCCAGGATCCCGAGTTGGTCTGATCTGACCTAGGCCACCCACACACAGACCGGGGCACCTTGGCCTGGTTTTGCACATTTTCCCCACAGCCACTGGGTTTGAGTGGCTCTGGGAATGGGGGACAGGGCTAGTGTTGAGCATGGAGGCAGCCCAGTGTAAAGTCAACTGATAGACTGTCTTGTACACAGACTCAACGGCCCTGGTCTGAAAACACTCCTGGTGTCAGGTGTGGTCCCCTAGAGATGGGGCACTAAGCGCTGTTCTGAGGGAAGGCTCAGGCTGAGGCAGTTACAGGACTGGGTATGAGGGGGGTCCCCACCCAGCAGCAATTCCAGCAGGTGTGTGGACCTTTTGGGTACCTGGGGTTAAATTGGATCCCTCTCATAGACTGTAGGATGTCCTGAATACAAGATATCAGCAGCCAGCTTGGAGTTCCATTGAGAAAATCTTCAAGGCTTCCGGAAATGAAGAAATCAGCCCTTTAAGCCCACCCTCCCAGATTAAGACACTCAAGTCCCTGGCTGCGACACTCACCACTTCATACATTATCTGTGGGTATTTGTGAGTTCCAGACCATCGTGAGTTCTATGCCACCTATCATCCCTTCCACTCTACTAACTCTGCATGTAGAACAAATAAATTCTGTGTACAGATGGCCAGTTTAATAATTCCCAGTTGTAAACTCATAGAAGGTAGGAGTGTGGTAGCATGGAGGCCACCCACGCTAGGAGCAGTCCACAGCGGGACAGAGATGAACACCCCTTCAACACACACAGACTGTATGTGGAATAGCTTGTGTGCATTGTCAGGAGATATGTTTTTATAAATGCATGTGTGCACATACAGCAATGCATTATATTGGTATAATATAAAAAGAAAGAAAGAAAAGGTACATAAGGTCCTCATAAATCCCTCTGCCCTTTCTCATTTAATGAAAAAAAGGTTATTTCAGGCCTGAGATACCTGGCGTGTCATTTAACCCTAATTGCTCCCTAGCCAGGGTCACCTGCATCCCTTCTGGCCCCACCCGGGCTCAGGGTAGAGGCTCTAACAGATGAAAAGCCTGGCGTCAGGATGAATGTTCCTCCAGTGTGCTTTAAGTAACAAACGCATTTTGCCCTTGACCTCCCAGGACATAGCCTCCCAAAGTACTCTTGGAGGAAATCATAAAAAGGTAGAAAGGGAGGTGTTTGCCTTCACAGATCATTAGGTTGCTGATGGGGTGATAGTTCTGGGAAGGAACCCCACTTCCTCTGGGTCTTAGCACTTCTTTCTGTTTCTTTCAGTCCTGATCTCTTGAGGGGAGTTCCAAGGCACAGGGGGATAGAAGGAAAGTGTGTGTACTGGAGTTAAATGAAGTTGGGTTGGAATACCAGCCTTAGAGCCCTTTAAATTTAAGCCAGTTTCTTTGTCGCTCTGTGCCTCATCTTCCTCATTGTACATAGAAACCCACAGCTGTCACCTTGAAAGTCAGGGCTAAATATCAGAGGTGATGTCTATAAAATTGCAAACGCCCAGCAGGATCTCCAAAAATATTCTGTTGAGCGAAAGGGGGTTGCTCTGAGGTCACCCACAAACCACTCAGGGAATGGGCCTCCTTCCTCAGAAGCTTCCTCCAGCTCAGCTCAACCCCGCTATCGGGGACTTGATGTCTTTTTGCCTTGGCAAAATGCTGTGCCTGCGTTGGGAGGTGAGCAGCCAAGGGGCTGAGAGCTGTGGAAAGGAAGATTAGTGCCACCTTGCAGACCACGAAGTGTAGCCTTCCCCCAATCCCCTTCAAGAACCCTCACTCCACCAGTTGTTCAAGTTCCCTGCTGCCTCGGCGAAATGTAGGTTAGGGAGCCAGGGAGGCGCACCTTGCTGCATCCCCACCTCAAAATGGAGGCCGCCTCAAGCCACACACGGACACAAACAAGGCCACAAAGATGACAGGGGAGTGTGCACAACAGGCATGTCTGCGCACACCCCCCCCGCCCCGTGTACACAGCCAGGCTCCTACGAGATGAGACAGCCCCGCACGCCACCACACCTCTGCGTGCACAGCCCGTTGGTCGGTGAGGAGCATGGATGGGGGATCCTTTTGTTTTATACTTGGAAACGGCGCGCCAACCATGAGCTGGAGGCAGTCAGACAGACCGCCTCCCAGCCTCGGCTCTCACCGCACGGGGCGGACCAGATGTAATGGCCTTTTCGCTGGACCTGGGACACCGGCAGTTGGAAGATGAGGACCAACTCTCACCCGAAACTTCCAGCAACCTCACAATCTTTGTTCACGTCCACACACTCAGATGTGCCTGAGTGATTCCCAGATTAATCCGGATGCAAATTCAACAACCCTTCTGGGTAGAGCCGGCAGGGTTGCCTGCTAGTGTCACCGACTTCTGTGAATAATGGTCAGCACCGCTACCTGCTCCCCTGAAGGGGTCCCTTAGGCCAATGGGTGCCAACACCCCATTCTGGTTGCATCCTCTGTCCTCCGCTCAATGTGAGCACCTTGGCTCCAGGTGAAACAGGATCAAGCTGCCCCCCAGAGCACTCCCCTTCTGTGAGAAGCGGAGAACCCCCCTCCTCATTTCTACACACCTCTGGCGGCAGGAGGACAGGAAAAAATTAGGGACCCCATGACTGAGTGAACAGCTGACCCGCCCACCACCACCCACTTGCTGAAATGCTTTCACCTGGGAGCTTGATGGATGCAAGAAAACCCAGGAAGAACAGGGCCTCAAGCACCATCTAGCAATTCTCGCTGTGGATGTGGGTGTGGGGAAGGGAGGCACTGAATTTAGTGGAATCCGTGCCCACTGCCCATCTGGGGGCAGTGCTGCTGTGTTCCAGAACGCGGAACCTCCAAACACGTAAACGGGCTGCACGATGGCCTGCACCAGGCAGGCCCTGGCTGCCAGACTCATCCGAAGACGCTGGGCAAGAGGCCAAGGCCTCTGGGGCTTGAGCTGAGAGCGGCCTGGGTGGGTGGGGGAACAGACTCCCCCCTCCTGCAGTCAGATCTGGGCTCAGCTTCCCTTCGAATCTGCTCGCTTTCTGCTTGGATTTACAAAAGCCACCGGACGTACATTGGCTCAGCCCTGACCTTGCAGGCCTCACCCTACACGTCGCAGCAGCTCCACAAGGCACACCTGCCCACTTGCCCAGCGGGCATTTGGACAACCGAGAAGGTGGGGCAGATTGTTGTATGTAAATGAGCACGGGATTGTGAGTCCCAGCTCTTGGGCCGTTGGTGGATCTCAGGCCCCTGGCCTCAATCAGAGTGTGTGAATACGCGCGATTACCCAGGCCCAGGCCCCAGGCAGCAGTCGAAAGGTTTAATGGTTCATACAGGGCCTGCACTTTGGAATGCTGGTTTTATATGTAATTTTTAGTTTGGGGGCTTGTGTGGTTGTATTAGGTTTTTTTTTTTTTTTCTTTCCTTGGGATTGTTTTTGTTCTGTTTGTTACGTTTTTCCTTTTGCTTTGTTTGTTTTGGCAGAAGGACCCGCATTCTCCTCAAGGGTCTAGAGCAGGTGCTATCCTTTTGGTCTTTATTTTCCCCTTTACACACATGCCGCCTCCCCCAACACACACACAGAAGCAGTCCCGGCAACCGAATGTGTCCTCTCATTGATGTGTTTTGCGTGCAGTTTGCATTTTTAGGGAACTCTGCCAGGCTCCTTGTGTTTCATGCTGTATTTGTTGTTCTGGGTGGTAGATTGGGCTCTAGTGCCCGTGGACCCACTGCCACATCGCCTGGGTGTGTGCCACACCCACGTGCAAACACACACATACACACACCTGCAG